TGGGAGGGGGGGGGAGGCATGCAGGGGGATGCCAATTAACTGCAAATTAGATCTGGCTAATCAGCGGGGGCCGGTCCAGTCCCTTCATGTCCCCCAGGGAACTGGGGCATCGATCGGCTGCAGCTGCGGGGGGAACGCGTTAACCCTTTCCCAGCCCTGATCCCATTTTCTCTGTGGGGGATCTGGGTCCAGTCTGGTTCCCCCTGCGCCCTCCCCCTGCCCGGGGTCCCGCTCCCCAAGCCCTGCGGGAGATGGGCTCTCACCTCGGTGGCCCCCGTGCCACCCGTGCCGTGCCACCTTTCCTGGGGCCGGAGAGCCACTGGTGTCCGTGTCCTTGCGGATGGCTGTGTCCACACCAGTGGCCGTGCCCCCGCCGGTGGCCGTGTCCCCTCCAGCACCCGCAGCATCGCACAACCTCCCGAGGCGTGAGGGATGCGGGGCGGAGGGAGAGCGGCGTGGGCAGAGCCGCGGGCTGGGCTATAGCGGGGCAGGAGGACGTCCCCGGACCTCGCCGCTCCCATGGGGGCCAGGGATGGGGTCACCTGGGAAGGCTGTGCCAGCCCTGAGTGACCGTGACAGAGCTTGTCCCCACCCCAGAGCAATAGGGATGGTGGTCCAGGTGCTCAGGGACAGCTTGGGCCCCCCATTATACCCAAAGGCCTGTGTCACCAAGCTGGGGTGCATCGTCCCTGCGCCCGGACCCCCAGCTCCCCTCCTTTGGGTGCTGGAGCTCCAACTTCTGGCTTTCCCGCACACCCCGAGGCGGGCCGGGGCCCGGCAGAGGTGGGTGCGGGCAGGCGGGGCTGCCCAAGGCTGGTGAAGTGCTGGGGGCTGGCACGGGTTCCCCAGCCCCTGCCCTCTCCAAGCAGGCAGCCAGGGTCCATGGCCACCTCCGAGGACTCAGAGGAGCGGGTCTGCACGTGTGCACACACGTGTGAGCGTGCACGAGTGTGTGTGTCCGTGTGTGCCTGCCTGCGTGTCCCTGCTGGGCTTTGCTCTGTGTGTGCCTGGGTGCCCACTGGCACAGCCCCAGCGTGCAGAGGGTGCGCCGATGGCCCAAGCCAGAGGGGAAGCCTGCCCATGCCTCAGTTTCCCCAGCAGCACAGGTAGGGGTGGGAAGGCTGATGCTCCCTGCCCATCCCTGGGACCACTTACCCCCCTGACTCCTGCCCCCCCAGTGCCCCCCAGCCTGCAGGGGAGATGCCCTGTGCACAGCCGCGGGGCCAGCAGGAGCCACCTGGCACGGGTCGCTATGGTGAGCCAACCCTCCACCGCCTCAGCCGCAATTACCGGAGCCAGCACAGCTGCTCTCTCCATCTCCCCAGGGGCTGGGGGATGGATGCCCTGTTCCCTGGTGACCCCCAGCACCAGCACCATGGTCCCCCATGTTCTGCCATGGCCCACAGCCCGTGCCACCCTGCCCTGTGGCCAGCTGCTGCCCCCACGGGGGACATGAGGGTCCCTGGGCTGTAGGGTGCAGCCCGAGCTGGCACCGTGCCGGCGGCTCACCAGGCGCACGCTCCCGGCAAGCTGTTGTTTTGCAGGCAGGTGGTTAAATGAGGCATTGGTGGATGCGGTGAGCCATTAACCGGCTGTGCCGCGGCAGGGGCCCCTCGTCCCCCAGCCGGCCTGCGCCTC